TAGAAAAACCACTGGCGATACCAACACCAAGAGCAGGCCCTTGTCTCCTTTACAATGCTGGGGAAGACACTGCCACCTCTGTGAAGCATAGCCTCATATGTGTTCTGCAGACAGAGCCCAGTTTACAGGGTTCACATGTAACCAGAGCCAGGTGAGCTGGCTGACCAACATGCATGCTGTTCCCTGCCTGGCCTGTGCACCTGCACCTACTGACAGAAGCATCAGAGGGTCACCTGGACATACTCTCAGCAGAAGACACGTGCAACATTGTGCTCCAGTGTTACCTCCTCTAGGAAGCCCTCTTGCACCTTCCACGGAGTCCTGGTAAGCCCTGAACCACCCCATTCATCAGAGAGACCCCAAGGAGAGTGCTGAGGTCTGCTAGTCCTCCATGTCCTGCCTGCCTTTGGCCTGGGAACCAGCCTGGCTCAGGAAGGGACCTGTTCCCCAGTAAGTCTATGTAAGAGAATACCTGAAGTGCCTTCAGGCCAGCCCTAAAGAGGGCCCAACCGACCTCTCCATTCAAGACTGGCTGACATCTATTATGGGCTAAAAATTGTGCCCCTCACCCCAAAAAGTCATAATGTTGAATCCCTAACCCCCAGGAACTCACGATGTGACTACAGTGATCCCTCATCATACCTCATATAGCCAAATCCACACATACTCAAATCCCACGTCATATTCCAAAAGTCTGCCCTCCATATGAGAGTTTTGCTTCCCACAAATACTGTATTTTCAAGTGTTTGCTTAAAAAAAAATCATGTATAAGTGGATCCACAAAGGTCAAACACGTGTTGTTCAAGGATCAACTGAATATTTAGAGATGGGAACTTTTAAATAGGTAATTAGGTTACATGAGGTGGCCCCTAATCTAATCTGACTGATGTCCTTACAAGAAGAGGAGATTAGGACACAGATAAACACAAAGAGGAAAGGCTGTGTAAGGACACAGCAAGAAGGTGACCATCTGCAAGCCAAGGAGAGAAGCCTTTTGAAAAAAACCAAACCTTCTGGCACCTTGACTTCTAGCTTCCAGAACTGTAGGAAAATATATTTGTTATTAGTTTGTAAGCCACCCAGTCTGTGGTATTTTGTTATGGTAGCCCTAGCAAACAAACACAGTATCTAACAGACCAATTAAGGAATGAATAAACTCTAGAAACAGCTCCCACTGACAGAAGTATCAGTGGGTCATCTGTTATGCCCAATAATAGAAAAAAAATACACATATACACACACATACCATACACATATACACACACACACACATAACATATATATACAACACACACACACATATATAGCATATATATGTATATGTATGCGATTATTTGCCTTCTGAAATTATATCCCCCATCCACATCAGAATATATGAAGTACCAGGAATTCAGACATAACATACATTAGAGAAATGTAAAAATCTAGATATTATCCTTCTAAAAGGAGTCATGAAAAATGTCCTTATAAAGAACATGTTTCTCTATTAACTTTAGGCTGTTGGCTGGCCTTTTAAAATTAAAATTTTAAAACAGCTTTTGATGTAATAGATCTACTCCACTAGTAAGCTAAACTCACAGTTTCTCACTCCTACTGAGGCCCCTTGGAGCTGCTGCAGAAGGCCTGAAGGAGGCCAGCCAGGCAGGCTGCATGGGGATAAGGCCCAGTGTTTCTGATTTGAACGAATCAGGAACGCTCCATGGTTACCTTTTATCATACTGAGGTTCTGTGCATTATTCTGTTTGATTAATAACTCCACTGGATTAAAAGAAAAGGTATAAAAAACACTGAACTAAGCTATTATTTCAGTTAAACTTGAAAATCAGGATGTGGAAAGATCTCTGACTTATAGTTACCATCATAGTCTTCCTCTCTCAACACAGTGTCTCCCAGGAGGGGCACCTTACAATTTAAAACTAGCTAACAAAGGTGGGGGACTTCGTGAACAGTCTGAAGAGTTTTTCCCCAGCATACAATTTATTAATCATCACATAAAAACATAACACACAGTAACAGCAATGTTTCCACCATTAAACATGTATGCTTTGCAGTCCACAGTTGGCTAATCATTACACTATTATTTCTCTCTGGTTGAGCAGGAAAGATGTTCCTTTCTATAGGGTAGAAAACTGAGGTGCAGAACGTTAATAATCTGAGATTGAATGTAGAAATCATGCTTAGTGCTCTTCAGGCAATGAGATGGAGCAGACTTCGGTATGAGTCCCTACTCCATCACTTGATTTAACATCCAGACTACTTATTAGAACTCTTGAAAATTCTGTTTTCTCTCCATAAAAATGGAGGAGAGTACCTAGAAGTTTTGTGAAATGAAAGAAAACACTGCATGTAAAGTACCGAGCTATACTAGCAGGTAATAGATGCTCAACATGTCTCCCCTTTCACACATTTCCCTGCAATTAACCACGAGTGCTCTTAGAAATGGACTAATGTGTAGGAACAGCAAGGAAAGCTGAACTGTGGATTCCTACCTTAAAATACTGAATTCCTTTTTAAAAAAAAGTTTTGACAGTGACATTTAAAGATTTGCTCCTTGCTCCTGGTTACAAAGGCACCCGCCCCCCGCCACATCAACGCCTCTTCTCACAGGCGTACTCCAACATGATCTGTGGAGATACAATTGCCTTTCTAAGACCAATCAAGATGAAAAGCAACATTCCTATAGGAAAAAGTTTTCATTATCAGTCACAACTCAACCCTGGAAGTTAGAAATTTCATTTCTGTTTTCAATAATTTGTTTTGGCAATAAACTAATGTTTAACTAGTTTCAGACTAGTTAATTTATACTCACTTTGAAAAAAGTAAGGTAATAAACTATGTGAGTCTCAACAATAGTTTTGAGTATAAAGCTATACACTTAGCACAGAATCAGTACTCAATAAATATTTGTTAAACAAACAAAGGGAAGACAATCATAGGACTTAAATGTTGAGAAGGAACAGAAAGATTATAAATGAAACCCTCTGATTTTAAGAAGAAACTGAAGTTCAGAAAAGGCAAATAACTTCTCCAGGTGTTTATATGTGTGTGTGTGTGTGTGTGTGTGTGTGTGTGTGTGTGTGTGTGTGTACGTATGAATGTTATACATATATGAACATATAAATGATATATAAACACATATATGAAAGTTAGTAGTAACATCAAGACCAAGACATAACTGTTACTTTAAAGCTAAACTTGTCTTTTGATCATCTTTGAGACCCTTAAGTCTATTGTTCACTTCCACTGACATGAAGAACTGACCCCTTAATATGACAAAGATAACTGTAGTCTTCTATGTAGTTTTATATTTAATCAAAAGCACTTATTATTCACAGCTGGTAAGAAATGAGAGCACAGATGGAGGAGGATACCAATAGCACAAACAAGAAGAATTGTGAGGTAATGTGATAGTATTTTTCTGGTCTTAATCACCAAATCAAATTACTATAGATGCTGTCATAATAGAGAAAGGAATAGATAAAATTAAACTTGGTAAATAAAAAACAGAATTCTTGAAATTTAAAAATTAACACTTACTGATCAAAAGTATACCTCAGGCTTGGTCTAACTAAGTACGTTCTATTTTTATTCTCACATATTTAATCTTCAAATACCCATGTGAGGCAAACAACATTCCATAATCCCCATTTTACAAATGAGGAAATTGAGAAACAAAGAGTTAAATAATTTGCCTGAGATAACACAGGATTAAAACACAGACACTCTTATCCACCATCTTATACTGCTTGAAATGGTATTATTATGTTTCAATAAAATATATTTCATAAAAAAGTGAATTCATTTTTATTTAATATGTAGTTAGAGCTCAAAGTATTTATACAATGGTTATCAAAGTTCTAACAATATAGCATAAGCATTTTATTTATGTAGCATTTAGTACACTTGTATATAAGTAGACCACAAAAAGCCACAGGCTATATATTAATGATACAATTTTAAGGCATTTTCAAAGATTCCTCTATAGTTTTAAGATATAAAAGAAAATCCATCTATCCTATAAAAATTAGTTGCTAAGTCAGTCTAAGAGATGTCATTAAGGTCTCAAACTGTTTAGCCATAAAGTAGTTCTTCATTATCTGCAGGAAATATGTTCTAAGACCCCTCAGTGGATGCCTGAAATCACAGATAACACCAAACCCAACTGATGGGATGCTTTTTCCTATACATGCATACATATGATAAAGTTTAATTAATTTATAAATTAGGCACAGTAAGAGATTCATAACAATTACCACTAATTGAGTAAAACAATTAAGTCAAATAAGGGTTACTTGAACACAGGACCTCAATACCTCAACAGTCAAACTGATAACTGAGAGGGACACTGAATGACTAATGGGCCAGGTGGCGTCTACAGTGTGGATATGCTAGACAAAGAGATGATTCACATTCTGGGTGGGACAGGGAGAGATTTTATCACACTACTCAGAACAGTATGCAGTTTAAAACTTGTGAATTATTTATTTCTGGAATTTTCCATTAAATGTTTTTGAACCTTGGTTAACCTCAGGTCACTGAAAACATGGAAATGGAAACCACAGATAAAAGGACTACTGTATATGAAAAAGAAATGAGACTGCTTTAAATTCTGTTGTTGTTCTGTAATTAAAACTAAGTTTACATAACAGTTACAATGTCTTTTTATAGAAAAATATTAATGAAACTGACTTAACTCCAGAGAGGAAATATATGTGAATCATGATTAAAAACCCGTATTAAAAGCAAGGTTGCTCCACAGGCCTTATAACCTAAAAGATACCACCATTTAAAGAAGAAGGAGATAAGAAACAACCACAACAGTAATTAGAAAAGGGAATCTAAATCAATTATCATTATCATCTGCATTTTCTGTTGTTGCTGACAAAATTTCTGATGACAAAGTCCACTATCAGTCAGTACTTATTATAAACAAAAGTATTACTAAAACATAAAGAAAACTTTTCTGTGAATTTTCCCACATCTAATTTGTTGTTGCCTACCTGGAATCCATGCTTGCCTCTCCACCATGTGCTTAACACTTTTGGGGGCATGTCAATAACAGAAACAATGTCTCCCACCTAGGAGAATCAAAATTTTAAGCAAAATGGTTTTAGTTAAATTTTAAACCAATTGTTATACCTACAATTTAAATCTGAACTGTACAAAAGGGTAAAGTGCTATTTATACTCCAGCCAATAATTTCTTTAAAAAAGTACCACTTCTTTTTAAAAATAATTTAATTATCTTTCAATTTAAAGACAGGTTTACAAAAAGTTAGGTAGCACAAAGACTGTGATCCAGCTAACAATGTGCAGTAACTTCAGAAAGCTAGACTGATAGCATAAGATTTTTAAATGCTAGGCATCACACCATTATCATCATTTCTGTTAAACTACTGTTACTGCTGTCACTGAGAGTGATCAGATTCACTTACAAAAGATAGTTTTAAATATTCATATTTAGAAACAATAGTAGCTTCCCTTAATATTACATTTAGTGAGTGCTTACCATGTGCCAGGCACTGTACTGAGCTCTTGACATATCTTATTTAATCATACAGAAAAGGGCTTAAGATGGGTTATTCTTAGCAAATGTAAAATTTGATGACAACTACACTTCTTTCAAAAGATAGTAAAATATAATTATCTCCACCAAGGAGCTAATTTTCTTCACTGTAAAAGGAAAACTAGCGAGTTTATAAAAACTCATATAAAATCATAAATGTAAAAATTACAGTAGTTTTTAATAATATATTCAACAGATGTTATAGTCTTCAATCAAAAGAAGCGCTGATATCTATAATAAAACATAGTCAAGAACTTCAGAGTAACGTTATTAACATACACTATAATGCTTTAGAAATTTTTCTTTTGTATATTCACAATGAATCTTTCAAATCATATATAAGCCACTTTTGCAAAGCCGTATGTGCTAACATCATCATTCTAAGACCTACATTTCTTTCTGTACAGAATCTTAAAGTCTGAAAACAGTTCAGATTCCAAGCAGTAAAAATTTATAGTTATTTCTTAAATTTAATAACTGTCAGCATTTTTTCTCTCATCAGCCAATACATATTTTTAAAGAAAAAAATTTAATTCCCCTCCTTTTATATCTGATAGCAAAATATGTTCATTTCACCTTTTATCTGTTCCTTAACTCAATCTTTCAACAATATGTAAGAAAAAAAGGTATCATTGGGTATTGTTTTAGGTACAAAAACAAGACAGACCTTGCTTTCAGAAAGCTCACTGAGACAAACATAACCATCATGATTAAACCTAATAAGTGATATGTCAGCGATAAGCTATGAGTACAGTTCAGAATGGCATTCAATTCAGGTTTCTGGGGGTATGTATTTGCATGCAGTGAGGAAAGGGAGATCAAGAATAACTTCTAAGAAAAAACAGGAGACAACCTCAGTTTTCAATGATGAGTACTATCACTTAAACAAAACTAGAAGATACTACAGGCTGAAAGATAAAGGACTATGGAAAAACCTGGTGCTTTTCATTTTTTTTAAATTAAGGAAATGATTTAGAACAGTCAAAGATGAGGCCAGAAAGGTAGCAGGAACCAAATAACAAACAACTTCTTAACTACTTACCTCTAAGGTCAATTCATCAGGGGCCCGGGCAGTGTACCTCTTGATAACATGGGCAGCACCAACAGCAGGAGTGTTGATGGATGACTCCTCATGAACCAAAAGGTGATTTCCCTTATTATCAATCTATCACAAAGAAAATGTACTATGAGATAAAGACACGGACTTGAATGCTTCTTAGACTAGCTATATAAGAAATTTATTTTAATTTAGAGATACAATAACCCAAGAATCTTTAAAAAAAAAAAAAAAAAACACCTACCATTTACTGGGTAGTCAAAATATGCTAGTCACTGTGTTGTGCCTCTAACATATATAGTTTAATTTAATCCTCATAACTCTAAAAATACTTATCATTTAAAGGTGAAGATGCTGAAGATGAAAGAAGCTATGTATTTTATAAGAGATTCAATACTTTTTCCAAGATCTTAATGCAGGTTGGCCCATAGTTCCACATTCTTTCCACTTTCCATCTTGCATTCCCAATTTCCAGTGGAAGGAGAAAACAATGTAACTCTACATATGCACATTTAGAATAAATATATAATCTATTTACTAAAAAATGCTTCACTCAATACTTACTCTTAAGTAGAACCCTTTAAAAGGCTGTCCCTGGTTCATAAATAACTGAAAAATATTTTCAATTACTAAGTAAACTAAAAAAAATGTACACTCTGCTGAATATCATTGAGATTTACAAGAAATATTAAGATTAGTTTCCAAGATTATCAAATAAAGATTTGAGATGAAAAAATATTTCCTGTATATCGTATCTATCTATCCTCTGGGATGATGATAATATACTCCATTTCTTTGATTTCTGAAGTTCAATAGGTATAAAAATTAATATCAAATTTCTTAAGTAGATAAATATACATTTTTCACAAAAAATGAATTAGGAAATATACCTCCATCCAGGTAAGGGCAGGCCCACAGTTGATCTTGTTGCCAGCAATAGCTGAAAGGCGTGACAGGTAAGCCATAAGCATCTGAGTGACCGACTGAAAAGAAAAAGAGTCAGTGTAACTCTGAGGAAAGAGACTATGCTCTCTTACAGAGAAAACTCATGGTTTCTAGAAGGAAAAAAATCTACGGCTCTTTAGGCCTTTTGATAGTTATAGAAGATTCTTCACAGAAACTTACCAGTGGCACAACGTGCACTTACATAGCAACTCAGCCTCTGTCTTCTGCAGAGCTTCAACTTCTAGCCCCTTATCATCACCAATCATACTATTCCATGGTTTCTAATTTTATGAATTTCTATTTTTGTACTGAAAATGCAAAAAGATAACTATAGGAGATCCATATTTGGCTTTTCTGCTTGGACTTTCTCTACTACTTGGAAATGTTTGTACCGAAGTCCCACTGTAATCTTCCATGTACGTGGCTGTGGCAGGGGCAGCCATGTTCATACATGATCCTACAGTTTTCCCCTACTACTCGAAAACCCTTTCCCCAAGGCCAACTGTAATCTTCCATACTGCAGCTGTGGCAGGAGCAGCCATGTTTATATGTGATCCTATACCATGGTTCAGCTGATTGGTTCAGGAATGTGTCCTAATATTACCTGGACCCATCCAAAGTTAATCTAGGAATTAGGAATTGTGACACAGATTCTAGCTCAATCTGGCTGCTCTCTTAAAAGGGGATAAGAAACCTAAGACCTCTTAGTAATGGTCATGTTTTAGGATAATCTGAGAGAAAAAAAATGAAACAGAAAAAAATAAAGCAGAAATGAGAAATGCAGATAAAGGGACTTCCAGATTTTCTATGGTACAAAGAGATCCAGGTTTTAAGACACTCTGAGACCCTGCTGCAGCGTCCGTATATGTTAGCGCTTAATGAACCCACTGAATCTCAAAACATTGCTTTATTTATATCAGGGGTTGGGGAGGTTTACACCAATTTTTGATTATTTCCTTGCATCCACTCTCTCCTCCTATAAATCCCATCAGCAGAAACTCGTCTGAACCTATTCTCCGTGACTCCCAACTGTTCTCTCACAACGTTTTAACCTTCTGTCCCTTCCAGGGGTTGTATGCTTATAAATGACTTGGCTTGATCATCCAACTCTCTCTTCAGCTGGGTACATTCTGTATGGAGTACAGTTTACTATTATTAAAATTAATTTAAGCGATCATATATTCATTTATGACATCTCTGATTTATTTATTTATTTATTTATTTATTTATTTATTTATTTATTTATATTTTTTTTTGAGATGGAGTTTCGCTGCTGTTACCCAGACTGGAGTGCAATGGCAGGATCTCGGCTCACTGCAACCTCTGCCTCCTGGGTTCAAGCAATTCTCCTGCCTCAGCCTCCCAAGTAGCTGGGATTACAGGCACGCGCCACCATGCCCAGCTGATTTTTGTATTTTTAGTAGAGACAGGGTTTCACCTCGTTGACCAAGATGGTCTCGATCTCTTGACCTCGTGATCCACCCGCCTCAGCCTCCCAAAGTGCTGGGATTATAGGCGTGAGCCACCGTGCCCAGCCTCTGATTTCATTTTATTTAAATCCATTTCATGGAAGTGACAGCTTCACTTTCTCTCAGAGGACAGTAATCATCCTTCAAAAAGCCTTTTGTTTGCTCCTCTAGGTTATTCTGTTTATTCAGTTTCTACGTGTAAAATTTCTAGTTTCCTTGTGTTTTGGAGTACTGTTTCACTTACATGTTTAGGTTACATTTACTCTCCCACATAAATCTTATCCCATCTACTTTTAAAGATTCCTCACAATTTTTGATTCCCTAATGGTACTTTTGGTTTAATGATGCTATTAAGAATCTCTTCTGCTTAAACATGTTTAGAAATTTTTTATGTTTTTACTAGATATTTTTTGCAGGAGTGGCAGTACGTGCATACATACAGCATGTTGTCATAAACTACTCAAACAACATTGTTTTAATATTAATTTCTTTGATCATGAAAGGCAACATTTTTCCATATTTTTGTTTCCAAATTTTATATGTTCTCTGGAGAATGATTTGCTCATATATATTGGTCATTTATATATTACGTTATGAGTTGTTTTCCATTATAAAATCATACACTGAACCTACTCTAATTCTAAACATTATATTTCGCATTACTACCTTTTCAGTTATGAAACAGGCAAGTAGACCCAGTAATCATCCTGAGTGTTCAATATAAGCTTTTCTTTAGTATAAAGACAAAAATTTATGCAAACTCATATATAGTGATTACCCCCGTACTAAATGTACTAAAGTACTAAACCTTACCTCTGGACTGTCCTTTAGGGTGTCAGAACGGGGAAGTTCTGAGAGCTGGGAAAATCTTCGGTCATAAATACATAGATGAAGATGTTTATCAAGTACCCTAAAATCTTCATAACTTCTTTTAACAATCCAACTTTTTCCCTGTTGGTAGAAAAAAGAAACTCCTATAATTCATCTCTATTGGGAAATACTTATGAATCAGGCCTTATTCTACAATGTTATTTTATTCATGAGAATTTATATTTTCAAACGAGAAGTTTCTATTAACTTGATAGCTAATAGCTAAAACTGTGAAACACTCTAATGAGTTCTATTACATTAAAGGGCCAATAATTGAAAATAAGATAGAACTCTCTACCAACCCTCTTCCTACTGCTGGTCAAAACCTACTGCATCTCTTTCAAAACAATAACTGCTAAATGTTTAAGATATCATGTGACGTTAAACCTACCAAAAAGAAAAAACCATAAAACAACTTTGGGGAGGAGAATATTAACTAAAATTAAAGAAAAATAAAAATCAGGTTTTGATTTGTTACTACCAACATTTTCTGTGATTGAGATCAGAAATATAGTCAAAAACCAAAACTACTGAAGTTTTCCTCTATAAGCATTTGATATGCATAGAGCATCTAGAACCCTCAGTTCTCCCTGCCTCTCAGGCCTTCTTCCCTTTTTTTGCCCAATCTCACAAGCGCATTTTTTTAAAATCATACTCATAAAGAATATTTATTACATACTATCTTCTAATCTTCTCTCGAATCTATTACTTCCTTTTCAATCCTATTGCCCAAGCTTCAGTAAAGAGCCTTTCTTACCTGAAATATTGCTAATGAGCCTTGCCTTTAAACTCCTCCCCTGCACCCCAACTACAAAATACAGAGTTTATCAGCTCACACAGCAACAAAAACAATAAGTCCTTCAAAAGCTCCTGTGGTGAGTAATGATGAGCACATCAGGACTGTATAGCATATAGTTTTGCAATTTAATCTACTTTTATGTAGAGCCTTTTGGCTCATAAAAATCTGGAGGGTCTGAAAGAAAAAGCCTTCAGAGTAACCAATTCTTCCATCGGCCCCAGACAACTGGAACAGAAACAGAGGGTATTACCTCATGAGAGGGTGCTGATTTATAATTACAGGTGAATCAAAAACTAACATGATAAACTTGTATAATCCCACTTTGGACTATAATCCTCCATTACATAGACAAAAAGCCATTACTAGCTTTTTCTTTCAGAGAGTTGTAAGAAAGAAACAGTAGATACGGCTGAGACTTCTACCCTTGACCTTGGCTGAAAGGCAAAGAAGCAATGTGACTGAGACTTAAAGAACAGTCTTCAAGTCTAAGAGATGCTAATTCACTAAGTGTGGAATGGGATCCAGTTAGTTCTGAGGATCAACCTGAATTGAGAGACACTGGTCTACAGGATTAAACGCAAACTATCTCCACATATCACAGCTTTCGTCATCTGGGCCCTGTCTGAATTTCCAGACTGATCTCACTGGCTACTCCTCCATTCCTTTTCTTGGCTTCCAGTTATGTTGAATGATTTGCATGAGTTCAATGTTCCTTTCCTTGTCTTCATGATTTTTTTAAGTGCTTTCTGTTCTTCCTGTCATATAAGCTCTTTCTTTTATGCTTTGCTCGAGGAAACTCCTTTATTTTCTCAGTTCTACCACTACCTTCTGCCCAAAGCTTTCCTGGGAATTGCCAAGTTATGATGTACAAGTATCATCAACTTTATTTCAAATTCGCCAAACTGGTCTCCAAAGTGGTAATACCAATTTACTCACCCAACAGTGGTATATGAGTTCCCACTCATATATGAGCAATCCCAAGGATTGCTCCCAAATCCTTGCCAATTTTTGGCATCATCAGAATTTACATTACTGCTAACCAGATAGAGATGAAATGGTATCTTCTTTTAATTTGCATTCCCTTAATTATGAGTGAAGCTTAGCTTCTTTTCATGTATTATTAAGATTTCTTTTTGTATGAATTGCCTATTACTACCAAAATCCTGTTAATTTTCTCTATTACGACTTTTATGTATTGACTTCTACAAGATTTTTGTTAATACATTTGAAAAATCATCTTTATAATTGACGAGTATTGTTAAACATTTGATCCAAGTCTGAGACTGTTCCCCTCATTTCACAGTATCTTATCAAAAAGAAGGAACATAAAATTTTATTTCCTTAATTACGAAAATAATCACAGATTAGGTAGTTTGTTGAAATTTTCACAGTTATGTTAAAGAACAAGTATGAAAATAAGTATCCAATAAAATAATTTAAATTTTCACCTGAACAAGAAGGTCTTACAGCCATCACCCATAGTATTTTAAATGTATCCATTGTATCTTCTGATCTGGGTATGGCCTACAGTGTTTTTAAAAACTGTATTTGAAACATTTAGAAATAGCACAGCCAGCTCAAATTTGCCAATGTCATTACCACACCCTAACTAACATTAACTGTATAGATGTTGAATATATTTAGATATACCAACTCCTGAAATAAATACACAGCTAAAAGCTTGGCTCTAGGACCACAATATCCCAATTGTGAAACTTGGTTATTTAAGAATTAAATCAAATAAATCAATGTAAAGTGCTTAGTAGTAGGCAGATAGAAATAGCTTAATACATGCTAACTGGAATAACATTTTCCCCTTGTCTTGCATAACAGATTTCTTGAGCTCCATGAGTGTGAAACAGAGGAAAGAGAAAAGAAAAAAAAAAAGAAAGAATGAGAATAGCAACCAGTAATTGGGAACGCAGAATCTGAATTTATACTACCCTAGGCTACATGCTAGTCACTTGGCCTTAGGTAACTATTCCACAGTTTCCTCATCTGTAAAATGGGGAAGCTAATAGAATCTGTGGCTGTCAGAAGAATAAGTGAAATAATCCATGTAAGGTGTTTAACAAGACTCCCTGGAAACAATTCCTTAATTATTAGCTATCTCTATTGGTATTTTTCTCACTATTACAGTTGTCTGGAATAAAAATAACTTTTGCATGCTATATTGCTCATATATCTATCACGCATGGAGTGTAGCAGGCAAATATTAAGTTTGGTTAAATTGTTAACATGCCCAGACACTAGAACAGTGCCTCCACTAATAAAGACTGATTGTGAAAAAGGTGTTTACACTTCCAAACTGATAGATTTGGGAGTTCTAAGATGACAATACAATAATTGATAACAAGATTATAAATAACACATTTGTATTGAAGTTTATGTTGCAATGTCTTATACTTTCTTAGCATTAATTTCTAAAAATGTGTCATTAGCAAAAGCTAGGTAAGGGTAAATGGGATATTTCTGTACTATTTTTATGGCTTTCATATGAGTCTAAAATCATTATAAAATGAAAAGTTAAACACATCCAAAATTCCTAAAAATGGACAGACTGTATCAATTTTTACTGCTTGCACCTATTTCAATGCATCCTCACCAATACTAAAAATAATGACTTAAAAAAATTTCCAGTGGGTGAAAAATAGTATCTTCCCTTAGTTTGCCTTTTATTGACTTAACGAAGCTAGACACAACTTCATATTCTTGGTCACTTTTATTTCTTCTTTTATAAAAAACATATTCACATTTTTGCCAATCTTTCTACTGAGTATATTGTATCCTACTATAACATATAACTTATCAAACTACAATTGTATGTTTAATCAAATTATCTGATGAAACTATTAGCCTTTTGAGAGCTATAACCTACTTAACCCTTTGAGAACTGTAACACTCAGTGAGTTACAGTCAAGAAAATTCCTTGAATGTACAGTGATGTTATCTATCAAATGGTTTATTACACTCCAATATTGAACTTTCTGCTTAAAAGAAGTCAAAAAGAGATCAGTCTTAAATGGGAGTATATCAAACTAAAAAGCTCTGCACAGCAAACAAAATGATAATAAAAGCACAGAAAACCCCACAGATTGGGAAAAAATATATCCTATAAAGGGTTAATATCCAAAATATATTTTCAAAATTCACAGAACCCTACAGAAAATAAATAAATAAATAACCCAATGGGCAAAAGCACTGAACAGGCATTTCTCTATGTATGTCTCTATGTATGTCTCTAAAGATGACATACAACAGATATTATTTTTAAAAAATGCTCAATATCACTAGTCATTAGGAAAGTGCAAATTAATACCACAATGAGATATAATCGCACATCTGCCAGAATGGCTATTGTCAAAAAGACAAAAGATGATAAGTGTGGCAAAGCTGTAGAGAAAACGGAATAAAGGAACCTGCATATACTTTCGGTGGAAATATAAATTGGTACCGCCATTTTGGAAAACTATATGGAGGGTCCTCAAAATTACCATATGACTCAGCAATCCTACATCTGGATATATAGCCTAAGGATTTGAAATCAGTACGTCAAAAAGGTATCTGCACTCATTGGTTCACTGCAGCCTTATTTACAATAGCCAAGTTATACAATCAACTTAAGTGTCCATCAATGGATGAGTAGATAAAAACAAATATGGTATACATACACGACAGAATAGTATTTAACCTTAAAGAAAATTCTGTCATTTGCAACAACACTGATAAATCTGGAGGATATTATGGGCACTAAAATTAGCCTGGCAAAAAAAGACAAACACCACATGTTCTCACATGTGTCTTCTAAATCAACTGAACTCATAGAAGCATAGTTGAATGGTGGCTACCAGAGGCTAAAGGATGAAGAAAGTGAAAGGATGTTGGTCAAAGGGTACAAAGTTGTAGTTAGGATGAATAAGTAATAAGTATTTAATGTGGAGAAAATAAATAACTTCAGAATGCGAGTCACTAAAAAAAGAAATTTTTTGGTCTTATTTTCTTGAGGCATTCTTCCCATAGAGGTATTTAAGATATATTTTTAAAAGAGGTATTAAAATATATTGTTATGCACTTTGTATTTGTTCTGCCAGCTAAACTTCTAGTTCATTTGGTTTTGTTACCAAGTACCACATGGAAATGAGAGACCATTACAAAAATACATTTGTGATACAGTTGCATTTCAGAAGTGATCAATGTCTAGTTACAAAGTAATCACTGGACTTCTGGTTACCAGTCTATGTAAGTTGCTCAGAAGTCACCTCTCCATCCTAACAAGTAAAAA